AGAGAGAGAGAGAGAGAGAGAGAGAGAGAGAGAGAGAGAGAGAGAGAGAGAAAGAGAGAGAGAGAAAGAGAAAGGAAAAGATTCGAGAGAACACCTTCACTCAAATGAGAGCGAACGTTCGCGTGAGACCAGATCATCCATCAGTGACGACAGAGCGCGCGAAATGACGGACAACAATAACCGTCCCTCCCTTCCCAACATGCACAAAGGAACGACAGGCGTCCCTTCGCCTGCTCACTTATAAGTTTACAACAACCGCTATCTCAACATCTAAGTCTCCTTAAAAAAAATATTTCATTAGTTTTTGCACGTGCATGCTTTAATTTTGATATTTATAGCCGATATCGTTGCCCCTGCGAACTATTTCCGACAGCGAATTTATCCCTAGGGCAAAGGACTACAGCAAGGAATCCATTTACACAAAACGACACGAAACCGAAACGACATGAAAACCGGAACAACACGAATCCGAAATGACACCAAACTGAAAAACCAACGAGATGACATACAAAGTGTCTTTGAAAACCTATTCGTTGAAAGTCTCCGTCAAAGAAAGAAAGCGAAACAACACCGAGATGACACACGAACTGCCATTAGCTGGTCCTGAGTTTCAATACCGTATTATACTTCTTGTTGTTCTTGTTCTTTTTGTTCTTTTCTTTTGCTTCTGTCCTTGTGGTTTTTCTTTTCAATTTTTACTTGTTCTTGTTCTTGTTGAGCTGGAATTTGCGTTATACAAAGGCTTTCTATTCTTCGTCTTCTTCTTCTTTTGTTCTTTCATTTATATTTCTTCTTTCTTTTTTTTTTTCGCTTTGTTGGTTTTTCTTTAATTTCCAATACCTCAAACACTTCACAACTCGGTTGGGAACGAGACTCCCCAGGAAGCTTCATCATCTGCGTCAAATAAACAAACGAGCAGTGCTGGACAGATCGTTAAATAAATGAACACCTCGTGAGACAGAGACGGATGATGAGTGAGATCGAGTGGTGCGTGTGTGTGCGTGTTGGAAAGTGAAAGTTGTGTCGTGTTAAAGCACGATCCGTCAGTTGTGGTGTGTAAGGTCCAGAAAAGTAACTAAGTAAAAAAGGTGCGATTTCGTTAATTTTGACGAACAAGTGTTTCGAGGGTTTGGTTGGTTTAAGCTATGCCGAAAGGGTGGTTTATTGCGATTGATATACGGGGATTATGAATAACAGATTCCAAGATACACACATAACTGTAACACACATACACACACACACACACACACACACGCACACACACACACACACACACACACACACACACACACACACTATAGTAATAAAGAGCGAAAGAGACACAGAGAGAGAGAGAGAGAGAGAGAGAGAGAGGGAGGAAGAGAGAGAGAGAGAGAGAGAGAGAGAGAGAGAGAGAGAGAGAGAGAGAGAAAGACTGTTACAAACTCGCAAACTAGCACACACCAGAAAACATGAGAGCACAGACAAATAAGTACAATGACATGTTTACGCAAAAGAAGACAAACATACAACATGTCATTTGCAGACCCAGAAACGTGGACCTGCATGACACAAAAACAGCCCCTGGACAGTCCATCTAATAGCTAACAATGGTAAGCTAATAATAATTTTAATATCTTTTTTTTCTTCTTTTGTTTCAGGTGTGGTTTAAAAACCGAAGGGCAAAATGGAGAAAGCAGAAACGAGAACTGGAGGCAGCCGAGAGACGGGGCGGCGACGGTGGCGCGGGATCATCGTCTGCTAAGACAACATCGGCAGATGAAGCGGAAGTGAGCAAAGCGTCCACTTCCGGAGAAGAAGCCGAGAGGGAGGATTCCATCTGTGTTGACGGAGAAGAGGAAGAATATGATATAGACGATGAGAGATCGCAAGACAGACCACCACATCATCATGAGAACGACTCAGTTTTCTCACCTGATGCGGGTTCTAGTCTACAGCAGAAACTGGTACCGTCAGCAACCTCCTCCACTTCACATACGCCGCTCGGCGCTGTACACGGACCACACACCACCACGCATGCGTCACCCCACGGTCTGTTGATCCCGTCTGCCTCATCAACGCCGTGCAAAAGTCCCATCAGTCGACCTCCTAACGCCCTCAGCCCGGTGGCTCCTCCGATCTCTTCCGCTCTCTCCTCCTCCTCTCCCTCCTCCTCCTCCATCCACCCCGGTAAACTCCGAGTTTTCCACCATAGCAGAGGAGAGGACATTGAGGAGGATGAGGAGAGGTCAAGGGTGAGCCACGATGACCTTTCAGAAGAGGAGTTGTCACCATAACAGAGCAAGCAGATGTGATCCTCCTGACTACACTCGAGTTTTGGTGATGCTATTCATACATGTTCTCTGTCCAACTCCCATTTATGGATGACGTCATTTGGGACCTCACTGTCGTGGTGTGCCAACTGATCAAACGCTAAACAGCAACATGTTGTTTATTGTTGTTTTGACAGCTTAATCTGAACACTTAATAGTTGCCCAGACTGATTGAAGAAAAACATTCCATTTTGATGAAATGTCATTTACGGAGGCACCAGCTGTCTGCGAGTGGAGCATGTTTTAGTCACAGTGGGAAACGAGAGAACATATCAGGGTCTTTCGAAAATAGTTGTAGTTTCCTCTGGAAAGCATAACTGTCACAATGTTTTGCCAACTTCAATTAGGGTAACCAAATTATTTGTATGTACACTACCGTACATATATAAAATGGATTAAAAACAGAGTTTACGCTGGACATTTCAGGCATTCTTGCAAGCTGTTGCAACTCGAAGGTAACGCTTTCTACACTTTGAAGGAAGTCGGAAAAGGAGATTGTTCGAGATGTGTCGTCTTTGATTCAGCAACTCATGACAATCGCTCTCTGCTCTTTGTGACACAATAAGACGCACAGATTTTGCAAAGGGACCCTACCATGACAAATGTTCATTTAAAGCTCTTCGTCTTTACTGAACGAAGTAAAGACACGAAAGAGGAAAAAAAAACAAGACCTTCTTTATTTCGTAACCCCATTTACAGATCGCGTAGCCCCAAAAAACATCTTCGGAAGATTTCACGTGAGAGAGAATTAATATCACATTCCTTATTATTCTGGAAACGTTCAGTTCTTTCTTATCATCATAACAAAGTTACAATTACATAATTGTCATGATAATAAATGATTTATTAACATTGAAGTATGATTTGTGTTACTGCTGTGAAGGACTATAATGCCTTAACACGGTAACTAGAGTGTGTGTGTATATATATATATATACA